GGCGTGGCTTGTGGGGTGAGGCCAGATCCCACCACTGTTTGAACCTGGGAGGGGGGGCATGTGCCCCTGGACCTGCACAGCGCGGGGTGTGCTGCAGCTGCAGGGTAGAGCCAGAGCCAGCACTGCATGGGGCTTTTCTTGCTGAGCAGTGGCACAGGGCTGGGAGTGGAGCTATGGCAAAATTTGGGGTGGCTGCAGCCTCCTCCCAGCCCCACTGGAGCCCGCTCCGAGCCCAGCCCCCGGCAAGAAAAGACCCGTGCAGTGCTGGCTCTGGCTCCGCTCTGCACCCCCCCGGGGTGCAAGCAGTGGCGGGAGCTGACCCCACCCCACAAACCACACCTCTGTCCCACCCACCCACACCCCAGCTGGGCAGCACCTGCCCCTGCCCCCTCCCTCACTGTGGGGGGCATTGATCTACCCCTTCACATCCCTTCCCTCCCCCCTCCCCTTCTGACTTAGCAGCTGGAGGAAGCTCTCCATGCTGTCGGCTCTGCTCTGTACTGCGCTGTAGCTACACACAGCACAGGCATTTATTGGCCAAACTGTCGGTCCCATTGGGCCGATATCAACAATTTTCTTTATATCGGTACCGATCCAATATCAGACCGATGTATCAGTGCACCTCTAATACACACACACACATATATATATACACTTACACATATACATACACATATATAAAGTTTGTACTACAAAAAAGTAGGTGCCAAAGTGCTGCTCAAAAACACACAATTTTCAGAAATTTCTTCATGAGTTGAATAATCAGTCTTGCTGCTGATTTCCATTTCTGGTCCTAAAATTCCTTAAAACAGCTGACTCAAATTCTGAGGCAAATTTGGATTATTCCACATAAAGCTATTATTAAACTCGTTGGCCATGTATTTACCGGAAAAAGCACTCATGGCTGACCAAAATCGTCAACCTGAGTCCCCTCTGAAAGAACATACAGTTACATCTGAACACTGTCTAGAGAGGCTAGAAAAGAACAAAACTGTGTTCAACTTCCATTACAGGAAGCATATTAGGATGTAATAAGTAATTGGCAAAAATTCCCACCCATAAAACTTGAATGTTTTGAGGCTATCTTGAGGGTCACCCTTTTGTCTAACACCGCTTTGTTTTTTTTTAAAAAAAGGGTATATCTTTGTAGGGGTGCACCAATAGAGATTTTTGAGGCCGATACTGACAGCTGATTTCTAAGGATGTATATCAGCCAATACTGATCCGATTTCCGATACCAGCTCAGCAGCTTGAAGAACAGTGTCCAGCTGGTAAGTCTGGTGTGGTGGAAGGGGAGGGAGAAGGGAAGCAGCATGGGGGGCAGATCAAGACTGCCATGGTGAGGGAGGAGTGGGGCTGGGGCAAGCACTGCCCAGTTGGGTGTGGGGAAGTGGGGTGGCTCCTGCCACTGTGCAGCCAGAATCTGCTCATCCAGCAGCTCATCTGGCAGCTCCCACCGCTGTTTCCACCACTCATCTGGAGAGGACATTGGGGGAGAGGGGAGGAGGCATGTGCCAGCAGATCTGCATGGGGCAGGCTCTCTGGTGGGGCGGGGCTGTACATGGGGCAGGTGATGGTGGTGCTGGGAGGGGGAAGGGGTGAATTTTGGGGTGGCTGCAGAACCGCCCACCACAGCCTCCTTTCAGTGCCACTGCCACCTGCCCCAAGCAGAGCCTCACCCCGTCCCACCAGAAAGAGCCCACCCTGCCCCCACTCCGTGCAGATCTGGGGGCACCCCGCTCCCCTCCCTTGCACTCCTGGACAAGCAGTGGGAGTAGTGGTGGGGGCTGCTGGACAAGCGCCAGACGAGCAACTCCCGGACGAGCAGCGTGCAGCAGTGGGAACGGTCCCCCCTCCCCCGGATGAGCCACAGCTCCATCCTGCACCCAGCCTAGTCTGGCTGGGCAGTGCTTGCCCCAGCCCCTGCCCCAGCCCCACTCCTCCCTCACTGCGGAGGCCTTGACTGTCCTCTCCACACCCCTTCCCTTCCCCCTAACCTCTGCCCTCCCCTTCTACCACAACCAACTTACCAGCTGCACACAGCTCTCTAAGCTGCCATGCTATGCCCCTCACCACCTACATGCTGTGCTGTGGCTGGAGGCAGGCACAGGTATTTATCAGCCAAATTATCGGCCATATCAGGCTGATTTCTGATACAGACAATTTTATTAATATCGATGCCAATTCAATATCGGACCAATGTATCAGTACACCTCTATATCTTTGTTTCCAGTAGACTCTCTTTGTATCAGTATATGCTGAGTTCCGAGTACTGTGTTACAAGGATATGATGCCATATAATCAATTTGCCTCTTTCTGATTTCACTGTCAGGGTTCTGTATAAAAATCAATTCCCTGGTTTCCTCTGTATAGTCAGTCACTTTCCCTTCTTGTCTGTGTGAGCCCTTCAAACAGTAACTGACACATGAAAAACATTTTAAAATAGGGGGAAAATGTCATCATAAAATAACAGAAACTGGGAAACAAGAAGGTAGAAGGGATTTTGTTTCTCCCACAACAAAAATAAGAGACACGTTTCTGTTTTTCCACTCCTCCCCACACATAAGCATAGATATATGGAAATCATTTTTTCCTCTCCCTCTTTTATATTTGGTCATTCTTAAGGTTTTTACTGAAAATTTTAGATCCTGCTAAAGAAAATAATGGTAACAAAGGTAGTTTGGGATCCTGGTACTAAAATTACAATAATTTGAAAAAAAAATCACCTACTGTTCTCTTGGAAACAATTTTTTCAAATCAATCTACAGCAATGGGAAGTGAAAAATGCATGTCCATAAAGTTTTTGGTTTGCTGACAAGCGAACCATCATGGTGTTGCTGTGTGACATGAATGGCAAACAACTTATGCTGTGAAATGGCTTGCAAAAGTAAAATCCTGCTCTGAAAATCCCTCTGAAATGAGACTGCTAGCAGATAGCTTTTCAGGTAATACATTTTAAAAGTTGGAGTGCTTTTTATGTAGAATGTGATGGTTATTGACCGATTTGCTGCTTAGAGGTTTTTCATTATATGTACTGTACTTATTGCTTGGGAAGAATTTTGGAAAAAATGCAAACAAACAGTCTTTCCTCATCATGACACAAAATCCTGCCTTAAGTAACACAACAAGATTTAAAAGAAAAGCATTTTTAAGCTATCTGGTTGATGTAATTATCAATGGGAAAAAATTATAATACCACACTGCAACTTCAAGATGTTCCTCATTCTTTGAATATTATTTTTGAAGCCCTTCATTCATTTCTGAAATGCTTCTTTGGCTGTGCAGCATTCAGTGTGTTTCAAACAGCACATCTGTCTAGGAACTTGGAAATTTTAGTCCGAGTGGCTGGGTCTAAACGAGATGCGGACTGTGCAGTAGCGTCACGTGGCGCTATGCTGTGATGCAATGCCAGTGCACAGTCAGCATCACAATAAAGCCATTCGATGGTGCTACTCTGCAGTAACATGGGCTACTGCGCAGTCATTTAGTACTTGTTTTGTTCAGCAAATTAAGATGCACATTTTTCTATTATAATGAAAACTGTACTACCACTTTTTCCTCCTTTACAATACAGCTTCAGAAAATACTTTCTAAATGTGCTTTCTAAATACTTTCTACTATTGTAAATATTCTTCCAAAATAAAAACAGATCATTCTAGTTTTTCATTTAAAAGAGCAGAAGTGCAGGTTAAGGATGTTACACTCTGGCAATCAATACACATATAAAACACAAAGGCAATTGGGTCATAAACCTATAGGAGCTGTCTGTGATGGGTACATTTAAATATATGGGGGTTTTTTTAAACATGCAAGCAAGAAATAATATGCTCAAAGTACACAATAAAATACTGAGAATCAGTTTTCCTGCCATTCCCTCTGAAGCAAAGCAAAATTTGCAAAACTAGCTCATGTTAACAAATTATCAAAGATAAAGAACAGATGCTGTTTTGTGCTCAGTGAAAATGTTAGGGAAACAGGCAAGATTAAATTGAATTCTGGCAGTCTGGAGCTGAACATATAATGTTTTCTTTGTAATGGTTCTAGCAATAAGAGCAGACTTGCACACAAACACATAAGAAGTTTTTATTTTGTCAATTAATTCATTAACCCATTAAGAAGCCAGGAACCAGGGCCCTGATCCTACAATCAGATTTGCAGCTTTGTCCCTATGATAAGCCCAGTGAAGTCAGTGAAACTGCAAGGTTGTATGGGCTGGCATTAATGGGTCCAAATGCAGGATCATGCCCCAAAGTGCCAATTTTACACATCCTGTATACCTAGAATTTCCTTTCCCCTAAAGACCAAATCATACTTGTCTTATTCCAATTGCCTTAGTGAAGTCACTATAACTACATGAACAAGAGAGATGAACAGGAAAGTGACCCTTAGGCATATTGTAAATACTTTCTTTAAAATATGTAAGTTGAGTGATAGCCCTGAAGAGAAGCAGATAGACAGTTAATGGCATATTGACACTATCTCCATGCTGCACCCAGGAATGC